AAAAAGAGAAGACTGCTCTCCACAGGGTCCTGGGATCATATAAATGGTGGAGTGTGAGTTAACAAGACAAAGCAGGGCGGAAGGGAGTACTGAGCAGAGATAACGGCTCATTCAATTGCCAGGCCTTGATGTGGGGGAGGGAAAGGTGGAGAAAGCAACTGAACTGGGTCCGTTTGGCTTGAGTCCCCACGGGGGACGTGGTAGGTGATGAAGTCGGAGAAGAAGCCCGAAGTATTTGGGCCAATAGTCTAACATCTTTCATCCTATAAAGGCTTGGAGACTTAAACCTTTATCCTGAAGATGGGTACACTAAACATCCCTCAAGACCCTGCAGATTAAATGTGTCAGTACATTAGAACTCTGAACAGTAAGACTTAATCAATTTTTCCTGAGACAAAGCCTTGCAATGTAGTTCAGGCTAACCTTGAACTCATTATGTATCCCAGGCTGGCCTCCAACTCATGGCAATCCTCCTGCCTCAGTCTCCTGAGTGCTAGGATTACAGGTGTGTGCCACCATACTGACATCAATTTTTAGAAGTTACTTTTCAATAACTTCTTTTCTTTTGTGTAAAAAAAAAAGGCTTTGCACCATTCCATAGATTAGGTAGTAACGGAAAATACTATCCTAGTGCTTACTATGTGCTAGGCATTATTTTAAGCCCATTCACTTAATTTCACGAATCTAGGAGAGAAATTATATTATTATCTTTATTTTACAAATGAGGAAAGTAGGGCTCTGAGGGTCTAATTCGTATGGGAGTCACAGCGCTAAGCCCAGGCTGGGATTTGAACCTAGCTATTCTGGTTCCAGGGTCTGCTTTTCACTATACTTAATAACTTCTCTCGGATATGCCAACCTTATTCAAAGGAAGTCCTCTGCTTTGCCGCTACTGTTAGAACAGATGAGGATACCTCATCATCTTAAAGTCCTGATAAGTAATGGTGGGGAAGCTCTGAAGGAGACCCTTGACAACTGAGAAAGATCTCAGGCTCTGAATACCAGAGTATGTACTTAAGTAGGTTGTAGGTAGTGTGAATAGGATTCAATCCAGAAAGCATTCTCTAATGTAAGAGGAGGAAAAGAGTGAACTTATGTTGATTCTAGGTATGATTCAGCTTTAGAGGACGCAATTTTATTGCCTTGTACACCAAGTCACCTTCTTGGAGCCACGCAATGGTAGCATTCTGGAAAGAATACTCTAAGCGGATAGCGATATCCCCACGACCTCTCAGCCTTCCTTCCTGAGCCGATTGTAATGGTAGCTGTTGCTGAAATGCTAACTGGAGAGCTCCTGACCGCTTTGTTGTTGTCATCAGGAGCACCAATCAACATTGGGCAAACATCCACTGTGTGCAGTTTTTCAACAAAACTGGCTGGTCCCCTTCTCTGTCCTTCCTCAACTGATATAATTAATGAAACATCAGTCTCCTCCTTTCAGCTACAGGTCTCTCATAATTCTACCTGTGATGTACCAAAGTCAATAATGGCAAGAAAGAGAGATGAGGGAATTGGGCTTTGCAAGCACAGGAATACGCTGAGCAGCATGCACACTTTGCTGTCTTTCGGCTCATTGGGAATACAAAATGTGGTTAAAATATGATGAATATTTATTTTTAACAAGTTTATCATAGTAAAAAACACATTGCCGTTAATCCCCACTGCCTGAAAATACTCCTCCTTGTTTTAAATACACTTATACCATCACTCTTGGCACTTTCTGAAACAGTTCTGGAAGTCTGCTTTCATGTCTTTAGTTTGCTAAATCCTGTTTCAGCATCCTGAATGGGTTCAACACATTTATCTTTCCTGCTCGCTATGACTTTAAGGAAGAGCCAGAAGTCACATGGTGCCAGATCTTGTGAATAAGGTGGATGAGGACACATTATGATGCTTTTACAAGCTGCCTTTCCATTGGATAGTATTCTGCAGCAGCATTCATGGGATTATTATTATTATTTTTTATCACTTCTCATAAAAACACTCACGAATCAGATGTTCAGAGTTGCTTCAGGAAATGGGAAGGATGGTGGGATAAGTGTGTTTGAAGCATGGGAGAGTATTTTGAGGGGAATTAATGGCAATGTTCTTTTTACTGTAATAGTTTTTTAAAAAAATTTAAACATTCACCATGTATTTTGATCACAATTTGTAAATCCAGGCATCTCTCAATCACTGACCTTTCCATTTCTAACAGAAAAATAGCAAAGTCATGCACTTTCCTTGGCAGATGCCCTTTGAAAATTAGTATCTGCAAATTTCTTTCATCTAGTTTATTCTCTGCTGAAATACTTAATCTCACTGGATTGGATTTGTTTTTCCAATTTAGGGATTATCTCCAGGGACAGTGAAATTTTTCATGAACATGGTTGTATAATAAATTATTTTGCCATTGTCAAAATTGTATACACAATTGTCTTCAATTACTCCATAAATCAGTCCTAACAACATTTTACAATGTTTAAAAAGCTTCTTTTTGGGCTGAGGATTTAGCTCAGTGGCACAGGGCCTGCCTAGCAAGTGCAAGGTCATGAGTTCGATTCCTGGTACTGAAAAAGAACCAAAAAAATAAATAAAAAATAAAAAATAAATAAAAAGCTTCTTTTTTCCTACTTGGAAGTAATTGATAGTGCAGATAGTGTAACTGGTTTTGCAATTTAGCAATTTCTCTATAAATTTTAAATGCTATTAGAAAGTATAAAATTTCTTAGGAGTTGAAAATCTTTTGAGCAAGGTCTCCATTCAATTTCAGGTATTAAAAAACTCTTAATATGATGTCAGTTTCCCTACACCCCTGCTAGAAAAAACATTTTACACTCTACCTGACTGGTGTGGAGTGTAAACAGGTTTGTCTGTGTGAATGAAGAGAAATCCATTGTCATAGGTTATTGGCATTTTTTTCGATTTTGAAAAGTGCTTTGATACAACTTCCAAATACACATGTGAAACAGCATTTTGTCTTCCAGACAATTGTTTAGGTTGTATCTGTAAAAGAAAACATTGATGAGAAGGAGTATAATAATTCCAAAGTTACAGAACATGTTAACTTTCCAGAAACCATGTTCAACTCATTAGAATAAAAATGAGTCTTAAAAAGTGGTACAAGAGACAGGAGGGTAAATTAATTTTGTCCACAGCCCTTCAGTGTCTATTATCTTAAACAAAATTTAGGTGTGATCAGTTGAAAGTCTTTCTGGTTCTATGTTCCCTAATTTTACATACACTAATAAAACTACTACTATAGAAGCTCAGATGAATCCTTCAGTTAATCAGTTCAGTGGGTTAACCCACACTATCCATTCCCTCTATCCAACATCTTGAGTGTTATCTTGGACACTTTGTGTTACATTATACACTTCTGCTTTCATTGGTGGACACACACTTTCCAATTTGTGTATGTAATTGCAAAAGTCCCCTTTATGTCCAATGATGTGTGAGTTTAATACATAACAATATGTGAGAAAAGGAAGAAACTTGTTATGAAAATTGAGACTTTGGAAATATGAGATAACAGTTAAAACCAACTGCTATAGGATTAGGTCTGTGAACTTATGGTAGAAACATAGAAAACAGTAAAACAGTAAAAAATTCGTGTTTATTCTGCACTCAGATTGCTTTCCATGTAGAATACCTTTGAGAAAATAACTTGTATGAACAAACTAGATTTACATTATGCATTGGTTAGAGTCATGGTTGCAACTAATTTATTACAAATTCTGATACTTAATGAAGAACAAGAAAAATTAAAGAATATCACACTTGAACAGGGTCTGGGGTTCCTTTAGACCAGTGATTCTCTTAAGTTCTTTCTCCACCTTTTAAGAAAGAAACTATAGGGTAAAGATGGCTTATTACAAGTGTAGTATCTAATAAATAAGACGTGACACTCTACTTGGTGGACTTACACTTAAAGAAAAGACTGAGGCATAGTAGCAAATAATTGGCAAAGAAAGATACTTTATAATGTTAGGATAAAGTTGAAAGCTTATGCTATGTATTAATTTGTATGATTCCCCTCACCTTCATCTGCTTTTTACTAAACCATCTAAGCGCTGTTCGGTAGGACTTTGTGATGATGGAAATGCTCTCATCTACGCCATGCAATATGGTAGCCACTAGTCACGCGTGTCTATTGAGCACATGGAATATGGCTAGCACGACTGAGCAACTAAATTTTTGCGTTTAGATACATCTGATTGATACAAACTTAAAGGTAAACAGACACTCAAGGTTAACGGCTAATCTTGCAGCCTAACAGATAAATGAGTGTCTACTGGAACTAACACTTTCGGGCAATGAACTTTAATTCTTCATAAGCCTAATAAGTGGAAGTATTTATTAAAAGACAAGGATATTTACCATAAAAACATTAATGAAAGAATTCCTATGTTTGGTTAGAATATATTTAGATCAGTGCTTTCAAACATGAGTAATATACTTTTCAATTGTAAAGGATAAAAGATAAGGCAGACTCTGCATGTTTATAGTTTATTATTTATAATAGAGTAAAAATAATTTACAGTATGACTAAAATACACACAAACCTAAAATTAGGTATGATCTTATGCTTATTACTTTCACATAGTTAAAATAGAAGTAAGTTTACAAAATGAATTCAAAATATTTTAAAGCTCAATATAGTTTTGGTTGTAAGCTCTATAAAATTTCAGTTTTTAATTTCTTTTATAAAGAATTCACTTTAGAGAAGCACTGGTCTAAAGGAACCCCAGACCCTGCTCAAGGGTGATATTCTCTAATTTTTCTTGTTCTTCTTTAAGTATCAGAATTTGTAATAAATTAGTTGCAACCATGACTCTAACCAATGCATAATGTAAATATAGTATGTTCATAGAAGTTATTTACTCAAAAGTATTCTATTAATGAGGGGTTGCAGTGAGAACCACTTACTTTAGTAATTAATCATTTAATTAGTTTTAGAGAATATAATTAGAGAATATTTGAGTCTAAACAAACATCAGTAGCATGCATGAATTTTTGCAAAGTACCACAGATCAACATTCATATTCATATTTCTCTATTCCTCTGTAATGATAATTTTCATAGCAATGAAGCATTTTTAATTCATATTCACATGTTCTCCCATTAGTACAATTTTATTTTCCAGGAGGAAAAATGTGAACATGTGTTGTTCAAAAAGAAGGCACAATTCTGTTTAGAATTTTCTGTTTCACTCATATTATTATATTATTATGAGGGACTGATAAACATCTAATCACACGGTGATAGAGTGGTACAAAAGATGAAATCTCTACATTATCAGTATTCAAATATTTATGTTTTGTCAAAAATACTTCACACATATAAAGAAAGTGAAGGATAAATACATACTGTTAAGAAGGCAGAGTTTTGAAATTTATTTTCTGGTGATAAATTAACATAACTTGAAGAGTAACTAAATTTTTTATCAGGATAGCTTTTAAGAGTGATTGTAGCATCAAATGCTTCAATATATCCATAAACTTGAATTACAATATTTTCAGATGCTCCAACTCGGAATATTTTTGGTGCTGAAATAACATATCTGTTGAAACAGGAAAAGAAAATTTGCAGTATCTTTGTACGAATTTCTTTTTTATACTTCAGGTGTTCTTCTTTTTTCTCTCACTTGACAGATTCAATTTAAAAAGATCTATTTCAAGTTAAAATTATTAAAATCAAAAATTTACTTTCTGATCTATGATCATTTCAGCATAGTTTCCAAGAAGAAACAGCTTGGAATTAAGAGCAAAGAATCAGAGCTAAGAGTTTGAGTTACACTTAGGAAGGCAGTAATAGCAACTCATGCAACCCTCCTGGAGTTAGAGATGTTGACTAGAACTGTAAGTGGGTTTGTTTCGGCTTTTTCCACCCCCAATAAAGAAAAAAAAGCAATGCAGGCACTAGAACTCCAGCTCCGCCATCTGCTGGTTGAGGGACTGAAGTAAAAGTCACTAATCTCTGAGGCAAAAATAACACACCTGCAGCATTTATCACTTTTTAAAAAATCAGGCTGTGGCGAAGGTTAAATAAAAGCATGTCTATGAAAGCACCCAGAATGCTTAGTACTCATTAAATAATAAGATTCACTAATTTCACTAAATTACTTGAAAGGAAGGAAAAATAGAAATTTCGCATTGTACTAGGGAGTGGCTAAGGACAAGATGGAATCCAGGAGCAGCTGAAAATTAATGTATCTGAAAACGAAAATAGTGACCAATGGAGGACCTGAAGGAACTCAGCAGCAGCCGCAGCCACAGCCGCAGCATGCAGCAGCAGCAGCAGCATTCAACAGCAATAATAGCAGTAATTGAGTAGTTATATATCAGAAGCCATGCTAGCACTTTATATAGAATAGTTTTAATCTTTAGAACAAGTCAGTGATGCAGCACTATTGTTCCTATTTTCCATGTGATCAGAGGTTAATTTGACTAAAGCCACATGATTTATATGTGAATGAGCTAGGACGTCACATTCAGATATCTCTCAATTGTTATGTGCATAAATGAGGTCAAGGACACAAGTACTTTCCAAACCATAGACTGTTCTCTCAGTATTATTTTTCATGCATTTTACACAAGAAAAGAAATGAATCTATACAAGCTTTCAAAACAAATTTGGAAGGGAGTGGATTTTTTCATTGTTTTATTAAACGAAAACTTACAAATGCCAACTAGATTGTTGGTAATATCTCAAAACTAATTTGAGTAGTGATAGCTGTGTCTTATTACAAAGAATAAGAATTATTTATCAATCCAAAAAGTCATAGTAAATAACTAACTCACATGGCCCATTTGGCTTAGGTCACACACCCACTCGCACACCCCAGAAGAATTTTGCAGGCTCCTGCAACACCATAGCATTTTAAAATTCTCTAAAAATTAGCAAGTTTGTAGTAGCAATAAATTAAATTGGCAACAATTAAATCCTTGAAAACATCTGGCAGTTCTACGTAACTAAGTTGGAGCCACTTATAGGGAACTGAGGTTCTTCAGATTTCTAACCACCATCTGACACATATGCTTAGCAGGGGACCACAGACAACGAGAAATGATAACAAGATACATATACTAAAGCTTTCCTGTGTGCCAGGCAGCTTCTAAATACTTTTTATACATACAGCTCATTGTGTTTCTACAACTATGTACCTAGTGAGGAAGGTCTTACTGTTCCCATATAAAGATGAACAAGCTAGTAATAAACTTGCCCAAGTAAGTTATAGAATTAAGAACTAATTGTAAGTAGTCTGCTTCCAGAATTAACCGCTTTAACAGCTGTTTTAAACTGCATTTATTAAGAATTTTGCAATTAGAAAAGTCAAGGAATAAAAACTTTCAATTTCAACATTCTTAGAGGTTCTAGTTTTTTCAGTTTAATATTGTTTTTCATTGTCTCTTGGTGGTAATGATGACACATAAAATATTCACTGGTTGGAAGCCCTTAAAAGATGGCTCTGGGAGAATTCTTCATACTAACTTTGGTCGTTATTGATGTATCATCCATATGAAGAATTTCATAATTATTTTATTTTAATGGCTGCAGAGGATCTGGCCCCAGAATTTTTAGAGAGAGGAGACTGTTACTTTGGGGTTATGGTTTGTGTCTAGATGTTCCCCCAAAACCTTATGCAGTCATAGGTAGGGTTTTTTAGGGGTGACTGGACTTAGAGAGTGTGACACTGAGATCAGGGTATGTGATTACTAAATTAGTCCCCTGACTGGTTTGTCACAGTGCTGGGTGTGGATAATGGGAAAGCCCACTCTGGGTGTGGGTGCTGCCCACCCTAAGGCATGCAGCCTGGATAGGACATAAGGGACAGAAAGAGGGTTGCTGTTTCTGCACTCCTTTGCTGCTCTGCTGCCTCTCTGCCTTGCCACCCTGCCTTGGAGCCAGCCAGTTACGAACTGAAATGTCTTCAAACTGTGAACCAAAATAAACCTTTCCTACTTTAACTTTGAGTGTCGGGTGTTTTGTCTCAGCAGCAGGAAAAGAAACCAAGACATTTGGCCTTTGTCTGGTATGTTTTTCTCCCAGGCATTTGTATTGATCACTTCTTCACTGTCTTTAAACTCTGTTTAAAGAACACCTCCTGAAGAGAACCTTTCCTGTCCACTCTTCTGGATACCCCATCATCTACCCGCTTATTCGCCATTATTATTTTCTTCATACACCATAACTACCAGTTCTTTTCATTCATGTTTTCACTGGTTTGTCCATTTATTATTCGCCTTGCCCACTAGAATGCAAGGTCTGGGAACTGTCTTTTCCCGTCTGCTACATCCCCACTGCCTATCACATGGTGCTCAATAAATATTTGTTGAATCAATCAATTAAAGTCATTGATTAGCACGTCATAAATTACTCTTGCTTTTCCAGAGAAAACAGGAAATACTTTTTTTTAAATTAAAAGTCAGTGTAATGCAGTTGAAAGAATTTAGAATATCCCCAATAAGAATCTCTGAACCCTAGGTTCCAGCCCTCCTTCAGCTACTCTTGTGAAGTCAATTAATCTTAATCTCTATGAGTTTCTATTATGTACCTGTCAAAAAAGAAAGGCCAGGTGATAAAAATAGTGATACAAAAATGCTATTTATGACATAAAAAAACCTAAAAGGGTAAACAGAAGAGCATACTAAATGCCCTGCTTTTGTCTCTGGCAGTGTGACCTCTGGTCAGTCATCTCCTCTATCTGGACTTTCCTTATATATAAAATGAATCAGTCCCATTAGATAATATCCACTTTTCTGTACCAAGATATTAGTTCTAGATATGAGATTGATGTTTATAAGACATTGTTTAAAACTCACAGAATTTCAATAATACTAAAATTTGTGAAGAATGAGTTCCTAAGTGTAGAAGCAATTGTAACAATAAAATTTCAAATCACAGAATTAGAATTGACTCCAAGTAACTCTGGCTTAGCTGTGTATGCTCCAGGGAAAGCACACAAAAAATCTAACCACCAGTACAAATAAGCAGTAAACGCCAAGAAAGATTATGATGTTTGGATTTGCCTTTCACTCACATTTCTTGAAAAGGAATTTGAATAATTGCTGATTTTTTTCATGAACAAGAAACCCACAGAAGCTGCCATGTTGTTAACCAATCATCAGATGAAAACGTTTCCACGTTTTCTCACTCAGAAACTAAGAGATGCATTTGGACTTTAGAAGTAGAAAGTTGTTTTTAAATTAACACAATCTGTTGCATTTACTTTTTCACTCATCACTGCAAAGATACATTGTAAAATTAAGATGTTTTGTTTTACTTACGTTTGTTCCTGACCCCAACTTTTCTCCAGGAAGATTAAAAAACAAAGTATTCTCAACGGGCCCATGGCTAGAGGTGGTGTTAAACCATGGATATAACCTTGGGGAAACTGTTTGCCTTTTCAACTGAGTTCAAGAATTTGGATAAATAGTTCTCTGGTTAATTATTAATGTTAGGAAGAAGGCTCTTTAAGTAAGAAAACTAAAGTCCCATTAGCATACCTTTTCATGCCCAGGGATAAAGATAAGAAGTATTTTACAGGAATTTACATCCAGGGAACTTACTTTTATTAATACTGTATAAATAAAAAGTTACTCCAGGGGCTGGGGATTTAGCTCAGTGGCAAAGCACCTGCCTGGCAAGTGCAAGGTCGTGAGTTCGGTTCCCAGTACCAGAGAAAAACTAAAAAAAAAAAAAAAAAAAGTTACTCCAAAATGGGAATCTGGGGCTAGAAATTAGGAATCCCCTTCCATTTGGCGTGTCTTCTATAGGCCAGGGTATTTGCTGTGATGTGGTACCATCTTTAAATGTGCCTCTGGAAGGTCCCAGTTGTCTCTGATATTGAGAGACCCATGCAGATTCAATTTCAAACTGAGATGTCTTCAGAGGGAGTATGAATTAGCCAAGGTTCACAAAGTGATCTTAAAGAGAAAACATGAGTGGTACCATCTTGGGTGGTAGAAGTGGTCTAAGGATAGAAAGATTTGCAAAAAGGGAGTCTAAGGACTAGCTATTAATTCACATACCACTCATTCAAAAATTTGCATTCATTCAGACATGGGATATTTTAATACAAAAAGAATACTATGCTGGTGAGGATGGGGAGGCCTTTCTACGCTCTTGAAGGGAATGTAAATTAGTACAACATTTGGAAATCATGTAGAAATGTGTATAGTATTTCCTAGCATATGGAAATCAGTATAGCATTTCCTAAAAAAATGAAAAAATTTGAGCTCCAAGTCTACCACTTCTTAATATATTCCTAAAATAAAGACCACATGGTCTAATCATAATTACATACCCATGTTTGTTGCCGCACAATTCACAACAGCTAAGATATGAAAATAGCCTAGGTGCCAGTCAATAGGTGAATGTATTTTAAAAATATGCTGCACATACACAATGGAATATTGTGCAGATATAAAGGAAAATAAAGTCACGGAACTGGAGATCATGATGTAAAATGAAATAAGCCAGAGTGAAAAAGTCAAATATTATGTTTTTTTTTCTTACATGTAGACTCTAAAAAGAAAAAAAATTAAGAGGAGAGATGATAGAGAAGTAGAGAGGAAATAAGAGAAAAGAAAGGAGGCGGGGAAAACGGAAAGCAAGGAGAAGGGAAGATAATGGGGGATTGTGAAGAAAGCATGTTACATTCATGTACACATATGCCAAAGCAAAGCCAACCATTCTATACAATTAATATGCACTAAACGACTTTTAAATATCGTACTTTTCAGGAAGGATTTTCATAGTTTTGATGTAAGAGCTCAAGAGAAGCAGAAATTCTTACAAGTTAGTCTAGTAGCGAATTTAAATGAAGAAAGATTTTAATTAAGAACCTGAAAGAGTAAATAAAACCTAAAGTGTACAATAGATATTATGAAAGGGAAAGAAATTGCTCAGAAGATGAAACAAATGGGATGAAGGAAAGGAGAAAAAGAAAGAAAGAAGGAAGGGTATATATGTATTTTGAAGGATAGCTGGGTAATTGTACTACTGATGTTTAATGGTTTATTGAAAGAAACAGTTAATGCTTAATTTTTTGGACCAATTTTGCATGCTTATATCTGATAATCTGAACAACTAATTTGAAGACAACAATATGCAATATAACAACAATATAATATATGCAATATAACAACAACAATATAACAACAATATATTCACCATTGGTGAATTTCTCCCATCTTGTTTAGTGAAGCTCTGTATTGTTTCTAATTTTTTTTATTATTTTTTTATTCTCTTTAATGGTTTGATCAATCTTGCATTCTTACATCTGGTAATCTGAGCAACTTTGTTGAAGATACCAATATGTAATATAACAACCGTTGTTAATGCCTGTCATTTTGTTTTGAAATCCTGTATCATTTTTATTGTTTTTGCTTTGTTTTGTTTTTGTCTATGTTGTTATTTTGTCATTTGTTTTATTCTCTTTAAAATTAAAAAGAGCTTTTAATGAAATTTATTTTTAGGATTTTTATGTTCATTAGAATGTTTTTATGTATACCTTTTTACTAGTATTAACCTCTACTTTAGTATATAATTTGTATTGCATTTTAAAGTATAAAACAGACATCTCCAAGCATTTGTATACATCAGATCTTTATGGTCACACTGCCATTCTTTGCTCTGAGTAAATAGGTTCTATTTGCTAACACTTTAACAGTGAACTTTTTAGGAGAGAAAAGGAGCACAATGGAAAGCTTCACTAAAAGTGACTTTTTCATGTGTCACCAAAATGGCAAAAATCTGTCACTATTGTCTGACCATCTAGCCCGTTTGTTTCAAAAGGAAATCTGTAAAATAATTAAGCCGGGTTGCGAAAGATGGGCCCAGTTAAAATAAACAAAGTCCTTTTGCTATCATTTTCGGGAAAAGGAATTTAAGAGAGAGCAAGAACACTCTAATCAACACAGGTAATATTTGTCTTTAAAGTGAAAAGAAATTTTCTTGCTTGTACTATAGGGTAAATGCTAATAAGTAATATCTACAAACCACTGGCCTGTTTCTCTAGTTGAAAGTTTAAAAAACGGTGGATCTCAAAGGTCCTCTGTAACGGAAGTTCAGCAACATATATTGAGCCTCAATTATGCTTAACGAAAACATTCTCAATCTGTCTTCTACACATGGCTCAAAGATGAATTTTTATTTATATAATGTGATTTGTGAGCAAGACTTTGGCTTTGTTTTTGTACAAATACTTTTTTTTAAAAGAGGAAGTCTTAGATCTTGCAAGAACTGTAGTAGTCACTTAATCTTCCTGCTATTGGTACCTCCAGTCTGCCATGTTGAGAGGGACCTTGAATGACCTCACCTGGTTGCTGGCCCCTCCTGACCTGGGTCCTGCTTGGTTTTCCAGACTTTATGCTCCCGTTCTTTACTCCAGCCAAATAGGTGGGTCCCTTGTGATTGCTTCCTGATTTCGTCATGAAGTTGCTCCTGGAAGGGAACTAACTTTGTATCTCTCAAATGGACATGCTTTAAAGAGTTATTTCATACTCAGTCAATGTCTAGAAACCAATTTTTTATTAATATAAACTGCAGATCTCTTTTTCATGCATAACAAATGACTTTTATGTGTATGATTTTCAAAATCAACCCATTTGTAGGGCGGCCACATTAATGATTAGAGAATGATACAACTAGCAATATATTGTGTGTTATCATTTTTAGAACTTCAGCCCACCAGCTTGCTAACTTCGGGTTCCTGGTTTCTAGCTAGTGTAGGACAGGTGGGGTAACCCATCATTACTTATACAATTTTCACGTTTCTATTTTGAGTCTGGAGGCCACCAGGGAAACAGAGGTGTCTGCTCAGAATTAAATCATTCTAAAATGAGACTTGAGAAGCATGCATGTTATATCCACAAATAGACTGGTACTAGGCGATTCTGAGTATGAAATGCCATTTGTCTCTCATCCTGGTTTTTTGCTGAAGCCCCTCCCTGTATAATGCCTTCATATTATTCTTAATGAATTTACACTCTCAATTCGGTAAGTAATATGTGGGTTACTGCTCCAACACTACAGGACACAGCAGATTTACGTGCTTTCCCTTAACATTAGCATGGAAGGGAATCTTGGAGTACATTCAGTTAGGGAACCTTACAAATACATATCTCTCATTAGTCAACTGTCTTGGTGTAATGTGCATGTGTGTGTATATATTTAAGCGGATTGAAAAATACATGTAGCCACAAAAACATTCATCAAAACCAAATCTTATAGGGACATCACAGGTATAAGCAGAGGGGAACTGATTTAGGTGAAGAAAAGTGGGAAGGCCCTGCTGTCTGCCCCGTGTGGACCCAGAAGTGGCCCTTTGGAAGGCTCCAGGGGAAACCCTGAAATCCTTGGACACATTGTTTTAAAACCATTGACTGACTTCCTTTTGCCAGCTTACCCAAATCTGAATGAAATAAAATTTTCAGTTGAACAGACCAAAGGAGAAAGAGCAGCTATAGTTTGGATCTAGTGTGTCCCCAAAGGTCCATGTGTTAAAAGCTTGGTTTCCATAGTGGAGCTACTGGGAAGTTGTAAAACCCTTAAGAGATGGGGTGTTGCGGGAGGTCTTAAGGTCATTGGGGCTGACCTTTGACCCTTGAAGCGGATACTAGTACCTTAGCCTGTCTTTCACTTCCAGATCATGAGGGGAAAGGGAGTAGGGGCTGGGTGGAAAATAATAAGTTGAAAGAGAAAATCAAGTGTTGGTGAATGCAGTTAAGCACATTATCTTCAGAGGAAATGAACAGAGACAATATAAAAAGAAGTTGCCCGCACTCCTATCACTCATGGTTTTATAACCTTACTGAGCTGCTTCCTCTCTACCCACAACTGTCCAATGAATCAGGTTCAGCCTACTAACTGCCTTTGGCTCCAATGACTCGTTTCTTATCTTCAGTCTTCTCATTCAACATAAGTTCCTCAACCTAATTCCTGTGGCTGTCACTCATCCAGTGGCTGGGTGTGGCACGTAGCCTCCAACATAGGCCCCAGTGGTTGGCCCCTCCCAGAAGCCACTTGACAGTGACTGGCATGATTTGGCATTACCCACACTTCACAGATAAATCTGTGATAACCACAGTTAAAAACAAAACAGCCCAGAGTCGTATAGAAAGAAGTAGACCTGGTCACCTATGTAATTTGAGGGACACAATGCAAGATGAAAATGTGGCATTCCTTGTTTAAAAAAAAAGCAGGAAAAAATGCTGTTAAGGTATTAAAATATAAAGACTTTTTCTTTCTTCTGTAATATCTCCAACTTGTGCTGTGTTTTGCATTTTATTTTTAATGTCATTGAAAGTAAAGAAAAATGAAAATCGTACGTGACTGGTGTGAATTTTACCATTCACCTTCATATTGTACAAAGACAATTTTAAATACAAATATAAGAGCATTTCACTCATATGGGCAGTTACCAAAATTACTTAGCATACCTTAGTTCATATATATGTATATATTTCATTCTTCCCAGAACAGTAGAAATGCTGCACACAAATAACTCAAGCATTTTCTTTTTGACATATTTATTCTAGCAACACTCTCCATCGTTGGTGATTGATGAATAAGGAGAGCCTGGAAGGAAAAGGAACTATAGATTCACTATCTTTCCTCTTCCTTTGACGTTAGCGTATTCTGTATGTGTAGTCGCCTGGCACCAGGAAACAAGTAAGAATGGGGGTGATAAGTGTCCTTATTTTTCGGCATGGTATTCTCTTCTTTCTGTGCTTAAAACAGATCCTGGTTCCAATTGGGAATGGGGCTTCTTGGTGTTGTCAGTGCCCTGCTGCTCACCACAGGCTTAAAACACTTTCCTTGCTTTCACCCTGACTGACTAAACTTCTGCACACAGTGCATCCTCAGGCATTCAGTCAGCGAGTATTGTGAATGCTCTGCGTGAAAGAAGCGATGAGGAATGATGACTTCCCTTCTAAAACACAGGCCCCTAAATACAATGATTAGTAACTCTAAGACAGCAACAGAGCATTAGACTAAGTGCTTTGTGGAGCCTTTCTGAGTGCAGAGCCCTGGCAACTGCGCAGGCTGGACGTCCACAAAGCCAGCCAGCTCTGGAGGAGCTGAGCCAAGAGTGAACTCATATCTGATGCCCAAGACAAATCTCTCAAAACATCACACAGACTCTCCTCGAATAATGCGGAGGAGTGTATTGGCAGAGTGATCAAGGAATGTCAAGAAGATGAGAAATTTTTAAGAGTATGAAACAAGTAACATTGAACAGGTGCCCTCTGGTTCTGTGATAGTTAATATTATGGTCTGAGTGTGTGTGACCCCTAAAATTCTCGCACTGAATCCTAATCACCAAAGTATTGGCATATATAGAATTCTTTTTTTTGGTACTGGGAATCGAACTCAGGACCTTGCACTTGCCAGGCAGGCACTGTGCCACTGAGCTATATCCCCGGCCCATATATAGAATTCTTGATGGGTAGTCATTTTCTTTCAGCACTTTGAATACAACCTACCACTACCTTGTGGCTTATTTTCTGATGAGAAGTCAGCTGTTTTCTTTCTTTTTCTTCCTTTCTTTCTCTCTC